GGGGGTGAACTGGTATGTGCTGTGACAAAATTGAAACACTGACGAAATTAGAACATGAGGGAAACAGGACCATGGACAATTTTGAAACACGGGCGAAACTGGAACACGGACGAATTTGGAACACTCTATGCTAGTGGCCTTTCTCAGCCTGTTGGTGATCGTATCGTTGCAAGCGTGACGCTGCTTTATCTACCACGTCAACCATCTAGGAACACAGGTGTCTGTCGTGTTACAGTTAAGACCTTTCCCGCCGCATTCAGAAGACAGGCGTTAGAGTTCAACGTGGATTTGTCTATTTTCTTCAGCACCTCTGTTTCTCTGCCGGCATGGTGGGCCAGGGCAAGGATTAAGCACTAGATCTAGTACCCTGCCTCACAAATTTTCATAACTGTATCAAGTGTGTGTGTGTGTGTGTGTGTGTGTGTGTGTGTGTGTGTGTGTGTGTGTGTGTGTGTGTGAGTGAGTGTGTGAGTGTGTGTGTGTGTGTGTTTGGGAAAGTTGGTAGGGGGAGGGGGTTTGAGGGAAAAAACAGTGACACTCACAATCAATGAAAACAGCCGTCTTGATTGAAGGCTCCGCAGCCTGGCTCTGCATTCCTGTACGTTACTCACGGTTACAAAGAGACAGTGGATCCTTCTCTGTAGCAGCAACCTGTGTAAAGACAGCTATGTTTATAAACAGCATGTTCCCATCCTTCTCCCCCCCCCCCTCTTCCTCCCTCTTTGCGTGGGGAGGGTGTTCTTTGGGTGGGGGGTTTTTGGGTGGGGGTGTTTGTTTTTTTACATGAAAATGACACTACTTAAGACTTCCATCTGTCTAAGACAACCGCTTTTCTTATCGACAATGGGTGGCCGTCTTAGACAATTTCGACTGCAGTTCCCTCCACAATAAAAATCTAAAGCCCTCTGTTCTCGTTTCTGAAATGGTCGCTTTTAAGCACAACGGAGCTGTCCCGAAAAGGCTGCTTTGAGAAAATTGAAGAAAAGGTTTTTGCCTCTCGTTCAATTTCCTTAAAACACAAGGAGGATTTTCTCTATAACCAAACAAATATACACCAATGAAACCAAACTTCTCCTATAGGTAGGGTAATGCCCACTTTTGGGGTAGGTCAAGATTTCTGGAACCCCCCAAAATCTCGGTTAGCCCGCTTGTCATTATAAGCGATCAAATTCTTTTGCTTGTAATGCGTATACTATACGCCTTGGACGTTTTTAAATCGCAATTTCAAATATTATGTCCTCAGGAAACCCGAGTTTGACTCCCGAGTGGGGAGAAATTTTGATCAAGTATATCAGTCTTTTTGCTGGGATATTGTACCCCTCTCAGCCTGGGTTTACCCAGACAAGCAGGGTCGCAAGCCCGTCACGAAAATGGTCTTTTCTTTCTCCGTGCTGCTTCAGTCTGTCAGTCATATTTTCCCCGTGCACTGAATGACCTTTACAGCGTCACTTTGATTCTATTTACTTAAACAAACAAACAAACAGGCAAGCAAAAAAACAGATAAACAAACAAGCAAACATCGGTCATGTCATTTTCAATTCTTGTGAGGTTGTAAACTGTATATTTGCACTATCGATGGACGTTAACTTCAACTTTATATTCCTTATCCCGAAGGTCACAGACCGTAATGTAACCTCTAGGCCACCCGGGTGACAACCCACCTGAAATGACACTGCATTCTGCAATGTTTGAAGACCGCGAACGTTCAGAGTTCAAGATTAAGATTGCAAAAGTAATCTAGGCCCAAGTTTCAATGACTGACAACTTGTAGGCTGAACCTGACTGCACGGAGATTTTAATTTATTCTGGTTGGTTTGAGGAAAAATAAAACCGCACAATAATATACGTTTACATAAACGGAAAACTTCTAGAGCTGCTATAGATCTTGTTCGAGTCTATTCCCTGGACTCAATTGAAATAGATTCCATAGATAGTTTTCTCCAAGAATGTCGCCACTCTATATAAAGACGCTGCTGTGAAGCTTGCGTACCCGGTGCCGCTTCAAAACATTACGCCCAAATGATCGAAAATATAAGTACCAAACAACAGACCCTATTCCTATGCCAGTAGTAGACTGTACTTTAGAAAGACACATACAACAGCTGTAGCTAACTCTTGCGCTTAAACACAAATGCACATAAACAAACGTAAACAAACAAACAAATGCAACTGTAACGAAATGTTAAACTCTTCATTAATAGCATCCCCTTCCATCCCCCCCCCCCACCCAACCCTTCCACCTCTACCCCTCCACTCCTAACTCCCCACCCTCACCTCTGTCTCACACCTTCCCCCCATCCCCAAACAAATGTCTTTAAAATAAAAAGCGTCGTCATCTGTAAGCATACTTTAAGAGAGGTGTGAATACTTAAGAAAAAAAAATACTGTATGTAAGTGTTAAGTGTACATGAACTTTCAGTCTCTTTTAGTTTAATCAGCAGGATAGTCAACACAAACCTTGACCAATGTGGATCAAGGAATTTGGCGCATTGCCAGGTCTGTAGCACTTGCATATATTTCAGAAGTAGGACAATTTTTTTAGAACTTACAACACCATACCGATATAGTAAAGAGTTCACTGCGGCCAGCCAGTAAAAGGGAGATTCAATGCAGTCTCTTGAAAATCAAAAACGATGAACCCTTAACCTTCAACTGCCGTAACACAATTTATTGGCAAAAAAATTGCAACACGAACATTCTTAACTGTCGTTGTAAAGGCAATATATTATAAATGAATAATTTAAAGTCAGCTGTATCCTATAACGATACTAAATTCCTCACTTAAAAACAAAACAAAAAACAACGACGACTTCAATAACAACAATATCAAAAGTTTGATACTAATACGATTCTGCATGCATTCGCAGTTCAAGGTTCAATTACAAATCAAGGAGCAATATAGGATTAAAGAGAGTTTGCAGCAATTCCACACCCCAACCCTTAACCCCTTCTGACGAAAAAATGGACACACTGCCCCCCCCCCCCCCCCCCCCTTTTCACCAAAAAAAAAAAGAAAAGAAAAATCTCATTCTCCTTACCTTGGTAAAGAAATCTGCTGTATAGGAGCTGTACAACGCCTATACATATGGAATGGCACGTTTGCATAATGGGCTTAAAATGCATTATGTGTCATGTCTTGATTTAAAAATTAATATTTAGGCAAAATATTTCATGAGCATTTGCAACTGATGATTCCACAGATTGAGAAACTACAACAAAAAAGTCAAAATTTTGGAGAGCTTAGTACATCTGAACATCTGGCCGACGATATAATCAAAGACGTGGTGTGTACTGGTACTGCAAAATAACACAGTTCAATCAAATCTGTTGAAACAATACATTCCAACTCGCAATGCAAGGTTAGCTGCTGACCAAAAAAAAATTTACTTCTACCATCGATGAAATTCTAAGCAATAGGTAAAAGGCCGTTTGCATACCATCACGCAAAGATTTGGAATGCTGTGCATTGTAGTGTAAAAGAAATTAAATCTTTTTGTTCATTCAAATTTCAGTGTAAGTCATTTCGGTTTTTATATTTGTGAGACATGCACAAAGATTTTTTCCCTACGCATTGTACTGTTTGTGTGTTGATATTGTATGTAAAGCGCTCAGAGCATGTCAGTGTTCTTTAAATAGAGTTGATGAGCGCTATATAAGTATCATAATCATAATATACTATAATCATTATCATAATGGGAATCCCATAATTTTCCTCATAAATCCCCCATCGGGAGATGTCGTGTGTTGTAGCTGTCCGGACCAAAGTTCAAGTTTGCTTTTCCCCAATTCATTGAACAGAGTAGCCTCAAATGGGCCTATGACCGGAGCCGCTGTATAAATATCACTGCTGCGTCATGTTGAAAGCGATTCAGTCGAACAGAATTTTTGGAAGGTAAAAGGGAAGCCCTACGTTTACATATACGATTTCAGGATCTATTTTCCAAATTCAGGTAATATTCCAACTTGTTGTTGTTGTTTACTAACTTCTTTCATTCTCCCTACTTTTGATTCGGTTGTATACTCTTTTCAGGACTGGGAGGCTGAGTTTACGCTGAATGTAAACAGTTTTCGTAGTGAAGAAAATTCGAAATATGTCTTTGAAAGTCAGGTTTTGAAGGATAAAATGTTAGCTGATCCGTTGTAGAATTTACATCCAGTAGTATGCGAACATAGTTGATCAACTGGAAAGTGCTACCACAAGCTCGAGTCAACGCTAGGTACCCCTCAACGACAAAGCCCAGGCGTCGGAGGCGTAGTGGTTAAGGTGTTTGCTATCGCATGCAGAAGACCCAAGTTCGATTCCCAAGTGTTGAGAAGTTTTATTCATCCAGCATCTCGGTTTTTTTGCGGGGATGTTGTATCCCTCTCAGCCCGGGTTGGCACCCAAATGATCTTGATTGTGTTGATCGGTGCCTAAAAAAACACCTACCACATTTTAAAAAATTAATGAAAACGACAGATCTGTTGGACAAAGATTTGTTGGTGACTTGTGGAAGATAAAAATAAGAGAAACACGAAAAATAAGTTTGCTAAGTTAGCGCTGTAGACATCATTTTATTTTTCCCAGGAGTTCGCTTTTTTTCTTTTTTAGAAATGTGTTCCTTTTTCACAACTCACCAATGAAATATTTGGCCTGCTGCTGTATCGTATTGTGGTATAAAGCTCAGAGCTTAAATTACAGAACACACGTTCCTTGCTAATGTGACCTTTGACATCTTGCACTATTGCATAGTAAGTTGGTGAACCCTCTGCCCCACACACAGAGAAATAGAGAGAGACAGACACACTCACACACACACACACACACACACACACACACACACACACACACACACACACACACACACACAATCACACACACACAGCACCCTAGCAGAAAAAAAATTATCCCCACTCTGGAATCGAACTCGGGTTTCTGACGTTCAGTGGTAAAGCGCTTAACCGTAACACCACAAACGCCGGTTTAATTTATTCGAGGAAAAACAGACAACTACATGCGCCAGCAGGTGTCACCTGTTACACTGTTCTAAGACTTGACCTTAGCCTGCTCCACATCACCGGAGTCTGTGCTGTAGCGGTTAGGCACTCAGCTGTAACACACAGGAGACCCGAGTTCTATTCCCGCGAGCTGCACAATATAATATTTTTTCGAGTGTCTTGCTCTTTCTGCTGCGATGTTGTATTCCTCTCAGACTCGGTTTGACAGACAGAGGCGTAAGCCCGTCTCCTAAATGATCTAAATTATGCAGCCGAGAGAGCAAAAACACTTACATTTCATGATAATAGTTACTCCACCTGTATCGATACTGAATGTTCGCCATTTTGTCTTTAAGCCTTTCATTGTTGAAACATGTCCATCAACGCTTGCGCAGTCAAGATACAATGTTCTCTTAAGAGACACTTTAACAAGACAAGTTTCCTTTATTTCAAGAATAAACAACTGAACAAACTATCTCCTTAAATTGTCCCTATAGACCAGTAAAAAAATGTAGCAGAGAACCAGTATTGTGTCACACACAAGTAAGTGCATACGTTTGCACAGCAGTGAAGTGGTTAAAGAAGAGATTCCCCAGCTTCGAGATTTCGGAAAAAACAGGCTCTAGAAGCAGGAGTCTCAAACCCAAATTTTAATTACTCGGGGGGGGGGGGGGGATGCGCTTGGGGTTGAGTCGAGGTGAGCCCAGGCTGCATCAAGCATTCCACGCATAAACAAGTTTCAAATATGTTCTGTTTTTAATATCAATATTTGTTAATAGCAGTTCAGAACATAATAAACAGGTCCCTCAGTATGAAGGCTTTTTACCAACTCCCTACTGCAGCCGTAATATTTGGCTTGAGGGAGGGCCGCACTAACTCATAGCTTTGATGTCATGCTTGTGCCATAGAATAGTGTCCCGTGGGCCTGAATTGGGTCGCAGCCGCGAGTTTGGGACACTTGTTCTAGGCAGAACGTTTCGCAACCAATATCGGTTTGTAAAGTCTCCTTGGCGTAGACAATCTTTGCGTTTAACCTATGTCTGGTATTTTTCCGTTCAAAGTTCAATTGTGCTGTGCAAATATTAGAATAAGCGACATAGCAATATAGGCGAATGACGCCAAAAATTGTTTTCACCGAGAGCAATGTTTAACTGTCAAGGACGAGTATGAATAAGAAAATATAGTTTGCATTTCTCTATCTAGAAATTCAACGCAAGGGGTTTTGTTGTTTCTTTCATTTTCTTTTTCAGGGAGGCCAGGGTGGGGGAGGGGAGGGGAGGAGGGGAGGGGAGGGGGGAGCTTGAAACCACTATGAGTCTTGACTTCACACAAAAAAGCAGGTTCTGTTGTAACAGGGTTAACACTATACAATAACGGTTACAGCTAGCGAGCACAGTTGTAAAGTGTATACAAGCTGAGCTCAAAGGGTTTATAAATCTCAATAACAGTCACAGCGAAAATAAAAGTTCCAGTTTTAGGAGTAGGTCGTACAAGCGATGGTCACTTGACACTTTTGTTAACAGTACAATATTGTTTAAATAAAAAATGTTGGTCCAACTCGGTAAATTTGGATTTCAGAGTAAGTGATAAACATCGTCGGTCTCCTACTCTAAACGTGTACCTACCAAATAAGTTTATAAAATTTTATAGTTCAAACAGGTTGTTGTTGGTTTTTGGTTTGTTTGTTTTGTTTTGTTTGTTTGTTTTTTGTTGTTGTTGTTTTTTGGGGGGTATAAGTATTCTATTTTTAACAGTATTTATCAGAAACTTTATATTTTTAAAGGTAACAGGCCGAAGGGCTAGACCTCAGATGGCAGCTGGATCGGAGAAGCTCCTCAGTATTTTCCAAAATTGTTCAATATTTTGTGTAGAATGTTATTTTTACGAATTATGGTATCATCAATTGTAAGTTCTGGTTTTGAATAACATTTCTTGAGACAAAAAAGACCTAATCTGGTTGATATATTGTTGTAATCTGACATCGGTGATGTGTACTACAAGAGCAGTATGATATACTAGTTTCTCCAAGAGTGCAAGAGCAGCTTGGCGGGACAAACGCCCTTCGAAGGAGGACGCCCGGATTCCCCATCTCTGTCTGCTATACAGAACCGAACTAAGTAATCGGTAGCCTCGAAAGCTTCGCAAGCGACGAAGACACTTCGTCAAGGCAAAGATTAATATTTCCTTTTTTTAAACAGATTTCAGCCCCAAAACTTTCTATAAGTCAGTGTTCAGCTAAAACAACGAGCTTCAAGTTTTTGCTTAAAATCCTGAGAAAAAGAAATGTCCCAGATCTAAGGTCTTGGAATATTGAACTACAGGACCAGCTAATTTCAAATTTTAAAGGATTTAACAAATAATTGCGTGAATTTGATGGATAGTGTTGCAAAAACTAAACCTACATTCCCCTGGTCAGTCTCGATTAGTGAAGAATTCATAAAGGATACGAGCTATACACTTATACAAAGAAAGTGACGCATGTTCTAAACATTCATTAAAAACAAAGAGGCCCTGTCATGATTAAAATCTTCCTCCTAACACAAATGATTTCGGTTCAATACTCCCCTTGGAAGGAGCACAGAATACATGATTATTTTGTCTAGATCCGTGATTGTCAACCTTTTCACCTCCAGCGCCTACTTTCCCCACCTTCAATACAATAGGCCAAAATGTTCATAGCACCCACCCACAATATGCACTTTGTATTTCCAAGCGATGCGTGAAATAATACCTAAACTATCGCCCAAGTTGCGAAGACCCGATCTAGATCCTTTTTGGGTACCACGAAGGCGCTCAGTAATTTATTTATTTTTAGCTCATCCATATTCATATTTTCCTTTTTTCCACAACCACCTTCAAATCGTTGCCCTCTAATCCCACTCCTTTTTACATGATATACGTTCATACGCCCGTGGTACAGAGCGCAGGAAATCGCTCAAAGTGTATCTCGCTGGACTATTGCATCGAAGACCCCAACTTGAATTCCAAGCTAGTGGTTTTAAGACGCCCGTTTTTTCTGGGTTTTCAAGGCTTTTCCCCCTTCTGGATTTATTAGGCTGTTGAGGCTAGACGTCGAATTCGGAAATCCTACTCTCAAATTAGGTCATCATGAGCTTATGGATGGTCAACTCTTACAATACCTACCATGCCACTGTGCTGCTCACGCGATTGGGATTGTACGAAAAAGTTAAAGGGGAAAGGGATAGGTTATTGTGGGAACTTGTACCGGCCAACTTTCATTAAATCTGATGTTTCTGTCTGCAAAGATTTAACCAACAACAAAATGTTCTTCATCGTCCCAATAGTACCCCCCCCCCCCCCCCTTCTTGGGATTTTTAATAATGTTGCATGACTTGGTTTTTTTTCCTGCAGGGAACACTTTGATCATTCCAACCTCTAAGAACCATGGCTCTGCCTGCCACCGCTAAGCAAGTCACCGCCATCAAACTTGGCACCAACTTCCGTGAAATCACAGAAATCAGGAAGGTCCCCGTTCCCAAACCGCAAGCTGGCCAGGTGTTGGTGAAGACCAAATTCGTGGGCATCAACGCCTCTGACATCAATTTGACCTCCGGTCGCTACAACCTTGCCATTAAACCGCCTTTTCCTGCTGGCCTGGAGGGGATTGGACCAATCGTCGCCGTCGGTGAGGGAGTGACCAATCTAAAAATAGGTCAAGCCGTCGCCTTCCTCCAGAACGGCAGCTTCGCTGAGTACGTGATAGTTCCAGCTGACAAGGCCGTCCCAGTCCCATCTTCCGACCCCGGCCTGCTGTCTATCGTGCTCAGTGGATTGACGGCGTCGATCTCGCTGGAACAAGATGGGAATCTGAAAGCTGGAGAAACCGTCCTGGTGACCGCTGCCGCCGGGGGGACTGGTCAGTTTGCCGTGCAGATCGCCAAACTGGCCGGGTGTCACGTGATTGGGACATGTTCTAGTCCTGAAAAGGCGGACTTCCTGAAGAGCATCGGCTGTGATCGCGTCATCAACTACAAAAAAGAAAGCTTTGAGGAAGTTATAACCAAAGAATACTCCAACAAATTAGACGTTGTCTACGAGTGTGTCGGTAAAGAAATGTTTGACATCTCTGTGAAGAATTTGGCAGTCAAAGGAAGGCTGATTGTCATAGGGGCCATTTCTGGGTACGAAAATGCCGACGGTCTCGACTCGACTGAAATGATATCAAAGCAACCGATAGCTGCGCTCTGTCTCCGCAAATCAGCAAGTATCCGCGGGTTTTTTCTACTTCACTATGTTAAAGAGTTCCCTCGCCACATTGCCACTTTGGCCAAACAATACGCAGAGGGCAAGATCAAAGTGAATCTAGATAAGGGCGAAAACGTGGCAAACGGGCCCTTTAAAGGGCTAGAAAAAACAGTTGACGCTGTCGAGTATATGTTCTCAAGGAAGAACATTGGTAAGGTTATCGTGGAAGTTTGAGGCGTCAGTTAGTTGACAGGAACGTGACCATCCATGTAAGTGAAGAGGCATTGCTATAAAAAAAAAAACCAACATGAAACTGGGAAAAAACCATGAATATACTTAGGCCTTTCTTTTCTCGTCTGAGATCGTGAATCTGACAAAAGATATTGTTCACTCTCATTGGTCGTTGTTTTTCACTTTCCTTGCATCAGTGTAAAAATTCTAAGTTATATTTAGAAGATCTATTGCTTTATAGTTTTTGCTATTCAGTAAAACATGTACCGAAACTACGCGGAAAAAAGCAATTAATTCCATGCTGCCTCATTTCATGCTCGCTCATTTACTGAAATGGTGGCTCTGTGAACAAGTTGTTCTTTTTTTCTGGCGCTGTGCTGATTCGAAACCGTATACCCCCACTCAAAAGATATTGTTACCATACATTGGTTGTTGGCTATCTCTTTCCTTGTGTCAGTTTACAAATTCTAATTCCTACATCATATTCAAAAGACCGTTTTATAGTTTTGACTATTCAAGAACACATATACCGACACTATACGAAAACTGTAATTCCATACTGACATTTGCATACCCCCCTCCTACC